CAATGTCTGGAACGACCCATTTTCTTCAGAATTTCAGAGAGAAATGCACTGTAACCAGCATGTACAACATTTGCTGCCTTCCTTCTTTCCTTCCTTAAATAAGGGCAATAATTGCCACCTGTTTTTCAAAGAATGAATGACCTCACTAATAGAACTCCACACTGCTATTATTTTGAACATGCCCCTTTCAATTAGTGATTCAATTACACAGAATCAGCAGCATGCATGTCATGACTGTTGGGTCTGTTGGATTTCTATTACTCTGCTACACCTGCTAGTAAATTATTTGCCATGTAGAAATATAATTTCTACCAAAAACAGTGATTGATCAAGTTAGTGATGTCTGACTGCTATTATTTTGAACACAACTGTATATACCCAACAAGGAACAGCGACGTACTGGTACATCACTGGACTTTGAATGGTTATAACAGGATGATGCCTTCAGCCTGCGGCTTTCATGTAAAAGCAATCCTAGTGGCTAATTAGCTGCAGGATTGCTTTTACAAGCAGCTGGATATGATGCTCCCGCTGCTTTCCACGGCCTTCTCGGGCAGTCCTGTGCCATCGTATGAACCTGAGAATGCAGCCGCTGTTTCTTTCAGCTGACCATAGAGCTGATTGGAGACCGGAATGGTGCCAATCATCTCTATAGTCTAAGAAATCAGAAGCTACGAGCATTTCATCACTTCAGTTTTGCAGGATATAAACAGCGCCATTTGTAAATTGGGAAAGCATCTGATCACACCTATCTTGGTTTGATTAGATAATGTAAGGGCAGAGGAGATATCTAGAGTCTGATAGACCCCAGATTTCTCAAAAAAAGAATATATGACAATGCCCATTGAAGTTATTGGGGATATTTGCATTCCCTGTGATACCATTAAAAGTGATTAAAAAAAAAAAAAAAAAAGGGACAGTGTAAAAATAATTTAAAAAATCAAAAGAAATAAAAAAAAAAGAAAAAAATCACACTCACCCCCTGCGCTCGCACACCTGTGTGCGCAAGCATTGACCCTTTGAACGGCAGATCAAGGGCAGTAATTCTAACACTAGACCTCCTCTGTAAATTTAAAATGATAGCTTGTAAAGGCTTTTAAAACGTTTCCTATGGATATTAAAAACGTATGCAGTTTGTCGCCATTGCACAGGGCATGCGTAGTTTTAAAGCATGTCATGTTTGGTATCTATTTACTTGGCATACAATCATATTTTATATTTTACCAAATTGGCCAATATATTGTGTTTTTGTGCATTAAAGTAAAAAAAGTGTATTTTTTAAAACAAATTGCATTTGCAAAATTGCTGCGCGAATACTATGTGACATAAAAATTGCAGCACTCACCATTTTATTCACCATTTTATTCACTAGGGTGTTTGCTTTAAAAAAAATATATAATGTTTGGGGGTTTAAATTAATTTCCTAGCAAAAAATACAGATTTGTTTTCATGTGAACAAAAAGTGTCAGTTAAATGATTTATTGCTCACACATGCCATGGGTATATATAAAATTACTCCCCAAAATACATTCTCCTACGTCACCCGAGTATGGGGGTACCACATGTGAGATGTTTTGGCAGTCTAGCCAAGTACTGGACCCCAAAATCCAATAAGCACCTTCAGGCTTTTAAAGGGCTTTATTTCCTCATTACACTTCCTGACTACCTATCACAGTTTCAGAGGAGCTGAAATGCCAGGATAGTACCCCCCCCCCCCCCCCAATTACCCCTTTTTGGAAAGTAGACACCCCAAGGAATTTGATAAGAAGCATGGTGAGCATTTTGCAGATCTCGTTTGTTGCCACAAGTTTTTGGAAAATGAAGAAAAAAAACAAAAACATTTTTTCTTTTCTTATTTTATATTTCATAACCTTGTGAGAAAAAATTAGATCTGCAAAATACTCAACATGCCTCTTTTTAAATTCCTTGGGGTGTCTACTTTCCCAAAGAGGGTGATTTGCGGGGGGTTTGGTGCTATCCTGGAATTTCAGGGCCTTTCGAATCTGTGATAGGTAGTGAGGAAGTGAAATAAGGAAGTTACGCACCCTCAGGCTTTCAAAGTAGTCATTGGAATTCAGGCTCCTGTATGTGGCTAGGCTCCCAAAAAGTGTCACACATGTGGTACCCCCATACTCGGCAGAAGTAGCAGAATGTATTTTGGGGTGTAATTCCACATATACCCATGGCTTGTGTGAGAAATATATCATTTGAATGACAACTTTGTGTAAAAAAAAAAAAAAAAAATTTGTCATTTTCCAGAAACTTGTGGAAAAAAAAAATAAATCTTCCATGAACTCAATATGCCTCTCAGCAGATAGCTTAGGGTGTCTACTTTCCGAAAAGGGGTCATTTGGGGGTGTTTGTACTATCCTGTTATTTTAACACCTCAAGAAATGTGATGGGCAGTCAGAAAGTAAAAGCTGTGTAAATTCCATTATCTATACCATAGTTTGTAGACGCTATAACTTTCACACAAAGCAATCAATATACACTTACTGGGATTTTTTTTTAACTAAAAACATGTAGCAGAATACATTTTTGCCTAAATATATGACCTAATTTTTTTTTTTTTTTTTTTTTTTTTTATGACAGAAATGAGAAAATATTGTTTTTTTTCAAAAAAGTTATTTTTTTCTCAAAACGTTTTTTGTTTATAGTGCCAAAAATAAAAAGTGCACAGGTGATCAAATATCACCAAAGGAAAGCTCTATTTGTGTGAAAAAAGGACATAAATTTCATTTATGTACCGTATTGCATGACTGCGCAATTGTCAGTTAAACTTGTGCAGCACTGTATAGCAAAAAAAATGGCGTAAATTGCAGTATCTATACCATAGTTTCTAGACGCTATAACTTTCACACAAAGCAATCAATATACACTTATTGGGATTTTTTACCAAAAACATGTAGCAGAATAAATACATTTTGCCCTAAATTTAAAACTAACTTTGAGTTTACTATATATTTTTTATAGCCGAAAGTAAAAATATCCTTTTTCTTCAAAATTTTCGGTCTTTTTGTTTATAGCGTGAAAAATAAAAAGTGTACAGGTGATCAAATACCACCGAAAGAAAGCTCTAATTGTGTGAAAAAAAGGACGTAAATTTTGTTTTGGTACAGCATTGCATGACTGCGCAATTATCAGTTGAATTAGTGCAGCGTCGAGTATCAAAAAGAGGCTTGGTCATAAAGAGGGTAAATCCTCTGGAGGGCAAATGGTTAAAAACCAGCCACTCATCTGTCCCTTGATCCAGCAGTGTGCTGATCACAGCCAGGTTTGCTGGTTGTTCTCTGTCCCTGGAGCCGGCATCTTAATTGTGGGCACTCAGCTGTGACAGCTTGGGGCTTCACAGCCGAGTACCCACTGCGCATGCACAAATAGTGCGGAGCAAGGCGAATACTCCCGCAATCTTCTGGGATGCGATCGCCTAGACATTCGGAGCGGAAGTGGAAGCGGGTACCTGTCAAAATCAGGTACCTGTCTCCAAAGGTGCCCATTCCTAAAGGGAAGCGTAGATCGAGTCGTTAAAGCTGAACTTCCCTTTTTGGGTGGAGCTCCACTTTAATTGAGCTGAAGTTAGAAGCTGATTGCCTACCATGCAGCTGCACCAGATTTTGCACTCTCCAGTTTTAATAAATCAACCCCTAAGGCTGGCCATACATTATACAATTTTCCTGAGATTTTTAGTTTAGATTTACCAAAAACCATATAATATGAGGTCAAACCTAACAACGCTTTCAATTGTATCCAATTAGGCAAGCTCTTGCACTACATAGTTGAAGGTAAATCTAAAGAAAATTGGGCAGAAATTGGACATAAAATTGTATAGGGTATGGCCAGCCATAGTGTCAAAAGTGTATGAGTGCACTGATTTTCCTTTCAAATGCTGGATAAACTCGTGGAATATCTGCTGCCACTGAATAGGCACACTAAAATAACTAGAAGGCAAGTGTACTAAAGCTTTAGTGATATATTTAAAAAGTAGAGCTAAAGTGGAGATATTGTCCATGGCAACCAATTGTACTAATTGTTTAATTTAAAAGTATCTAACCAGCTATTGAGAGAATTGCCCCCCATTCCCTATTGCTGCTGTATATTACACTAAAGAAAACATTAGCTACTGCTTACAATATACAGTAAAGGAAAATGTATTTCAAAGGTAAGGCCTTACAGGATTACAATGTTAAATCAGATCTTTTGCACCACAACTGGCCTTATTTAACAATAACAAAGTGCGCCTATTTCTTGAATGGCTAACTTAGAATGGTGAGCTTTACAGAAGAACTCTAACCAGAAATTAGGTTATTAAAGAACAAGTGCACTTCCAGATAAAGTGCACCTATTCATTTCCCCCTGTGCCTGACCCAAACTATCCCATGCTTCCCCTCCACATATCCATGCTTACTAAGATCTGCGGCTTTGGGGATTGTTTACATCCATATCCACAAGTCTTCCTCTTCTAGCTGCGCTATCAACCAGGATGACAGCTGCTTAGAAGTCTATGGGAATTAATGCACAGGTGTAGCCACCAGAGGGAGCCATGCAGCTCTGGATGTAAACAACCCCAGAGGGCCAAATCGGATCTTGGGTAAGTAAGGATTTATGGAGGGGGATGGTTTAGAACAGGGTACACGGGTAAATAGAATAAATGCACTTTGAAAGCACAATTATTCATTAACCACTTCCGCACCATGTAGCAGAAATTCTGCAGCATGGGCGCGCAACATCACGTATATATATACGTGATTTTTCTGCTCCGGGTAGGGGGATGCATGTGCTCTACTGTGCTGTGTGTGTGTGCTGTGGCGGCATGCCATTCATGGCCTCAGATGTCAATCACTGGGTCCCGGCCAGAGATTCCTCGCCGGCACCCAACGATCGCCGAGCATCACCAATGGGGGAGAGACCTGTGTATAAACAACACATATCTCTCCCCTGTCAGCTCCTGCACACTACTTTGTATGCTGAGCCATACAAAGCATCGTGCTTGCAGTGTAAAGCACACACAGTAAAACAGCACACAGTTAACCCTTTGATCACCCCACATGTTAACCCCTTCCTGACCAGTGCCATTAGTACAATGTTAGTGCTTTTTATTAGCATTGATCACTGTATTGGTGTCACTGGATGTCAGTGACACCAAGTGTGTTCCCCCCAGTGTCAGAATGCCCACTGCAGTCCCACTATAAGTCATTGATTGCCACCATTACTAGTGAAAAAACAAAATCCCAGTATATATACCGCCATTTGTAAACGCTATAGCTTTCACGTAAAAGAATTAAATTACACGTATTGGGATTTTTGTTTAGCAAAGACATGTCTCAGAATACATTTTGGCCTAAATTTATGCCAAAATTTATTTTACATTTTTTTACTGGATATGTTTAATAGCAAAAAGTCAAAGATATAGTTTTTTTTTTTCAAAATTGTCGGCCTTTTTTTGTTTATAGCACAAAAAATAAAAAAAACTCAGAGGTGATCAAATACCACTGAAAGAAAGCTCTATTTGTGGGGAAAAAAGGATGTAAATTTCATGTGGGTGCAGCGTTGCATGACTGTGCAATTGTCAGTTAAAATAATGCAGCGCGTATCACTGGTATCATCCTGGTCAGGAAAAGGGGGTTAATCCTCTGGAGGGCAAGTGGTTAAATCTCCCAGAGACTCTGTGTGCATAGCACATGTCCTTGTTTTAAATCTGTGCAGTGGTTTTTGAGTAACAATTTTTGGATAGCTAGCCCTGCCTCCCGACACCGCTGTCTACCTGACATTACAGCATTAGTGGGGGCATGACAAGTAGTGCACACAGAGCCTGCCCTGCCCCCCTCCTTTACCTTCTAAGCTGCCAGACATTTTTGCTGTGAAGTCCTCTGCCTCCCCATTTCTTATATTGCTGTCTGACCTTGGACCCGCCGCTAGCTATTCAGGGCATAGAGAGTGAAAACTGTCAGCTTGTGGTGTTGGGAATTATTTTAGGTGATGAGGTACACTTTCATTCACTACAAAGTCCATCTACTACACCTGTAGCAAGCTTGTGCTGTTGCAGGTTTTTTTTCTTCAGAATGAAAATGTGCCTCTTCCCCCGCAATCATTCACTACAATACATGCTGACAGTTTCACTCTCTGTGCCCTGAATACCAGGTGGTGGGTCTGGGTCAGACTGAACTTCTATGCATGGACAGGAGTGAAGTCCTCTTTCGCCGCTCAATGAAAAACATCCCGGTTAAGATGATGGCGCTGGTGAGGGATGTCAGACCGTTGAAGGAAAGGTTAAGTACAGTACTTTAATTCCATTTTTAGTGTAAAGCAGGGGTGTCAAACTGGCAGCCCTCCATCTGTTGTGAAACTACAAGTCCCATCATGCCTCTGCCTTTGGGAGTCATGCTTGTAACTGTCAATCTTGCAATGCCTCATGGGACTTTTAGTTTGGCAACAACTGGAGGGCCGTCAGTTTGACACCCACGGTCTAAAGCATCCTTAGTATCATAATTGTTACCTAAACCATCCAATTGTGAACAAGGATGTTAGATTTTAGAAACGCGGGGAATTACACAGAATGTATTTTGGCACATTGAGGACTTCACAAAAATGGAGGATATTTGCACATACCCAAATGACTGTATTTAACATGACCATTCTGGTCACAAACATACAAGCTCCAGCAATATAGAAATGTTAGCACACACCACGGGGCCCCATTAAGCCAACCTGACAGGCCCCCCCCCCCCCCCCCCAAATAAGCACAGTTTGCTATGCTTCAGTTATGAATGAACATAGTGACCTGTACCGATCACTCATTGTGTTCATTCTGGAAAGGAAGGTGCTGGTAAATGTGACATATTTACTGGACCCTTCCCCCACTCTCCATCCTGAAGGACCCTTTTGTGTGCTTGCAACTGACAGTGAGAAGGAGAGGAGGGAAGCCGGCAGCACTTTGGGGATGGGGGCACACAGGGAGTGTAGGGGGAAACATATGGTGGACAGGGCGGGTGATGGGTTATGGGTGAGGGCAATTACTGAAGCTGAAAGCCAGCGGGATGCAGAGGAGAAGCCAGCTTTCAGCTGCTGCAGTGAGAGACATACAGGGGATCTGTTCCTATAATTGCCCCTCCCCCCACTGCCTTGCTGATCACTCTCCCTGTCCACATTTGATTCACCCAGCTGCCTGGCTCCCCCTGATGGCCTGGGCCCTGTACAGGAGGACCGGTGGTACCTCCTTATCCATGGCCCTGACTGCAGCCATAGTATTACATTGTTTCTCTTCCATGACATTATATACAGTGGATATAAAAAGTCTACACACCCCTGTTAAAATGTCAGGTTTCTGCGATGTAAAAAAATTAGACAAAGATAAATCATTTCAGAACTTTTTCCACCTTTAATGTAACCTATAAACTGTACAACTTAGTTGAACAACAAACTGAAATCTTTTAGTTGGAGGGCAGTAAAAATAAAAAACTAAAATAATATGGTTGCATAAGTGTGCTCACCCTTAAACCAATCCTTTGTTGAAGCACCTTTTGATTTTATTTCAGCACTCAGTCTTTTTGGGTAAGAGTCTATCAGCATGGCACATCTTGACTTGGCAATATGTGCCCACTCTTCCATGCAAAAACACTCCAAGTCTGTCAGATTGTGAGGGCAGCCTCTCAGACCAGTTTTCTTTTTGTTTTTTCATCAATTTTGGAAGGACGTCCAGTTCTTGGTAATGTCACTGTTGCACCATATTTTCTCCACCTGATGATGACTGTCTTCACTGTGTTCCATGGTATATCTAATGCCTTGGAAATTCTTTTTTATCCTACTCCTGACTGATACCTTTTAACAATGAGATCCCTCTGATGCTTTGGAAGCTCTCTGCGTACCATGACTTTTGCTGTAGGATGCGACTAACAAAATGTCAGGAAAGACATACTAGAACAGCTGAACTTTATTTGGGGTTAATCAGAGGCATTTTAAACAATGGCAGGTGTGTATTGACTCCTATTTAACATGATTTTGAATGTGATTGCTTAATTCTGAACACAGCTACATCCCCATTTATAAGAGGGTGTGCACTTATGCAACCATATTATTTTACTTTTTTTTTATGTTTACTCCCCCCCCTAAAAGATTTCAGTTTGTTTTTAAATTGAGTTGCACAGTTTATAAGTCACATTAAAGGCGGGAAAAGTTCTGAAATAATTTATCTTTGTCTAGTATTTTTACATCACAGAAACCTGACATTTTACCAGTGGTGTGTAGACTTTTTATATCCACTGTACTTGTGTATGACCTGACTCCATCGTACTGTAGCTGGCTGCATGTTACTGATGCATGTGACCTGTGCTAACATTATCCATGTTTAAGACCTTTCTTATAGCCCATATATAAAGTGTTAAAGTTTAGTCAGTAGACACTTGCTCAAAGTATTGTGCAAACTATTTTATTGTAATTGATACTGAGATAACAAAAATATCAGTCAACCGTATGCATGCAACAGTCATGTGCCCATCGATACAGCTTCAAATTTTGTGCCTGCCGAATGAAAGTGGTGGGGTTTTTTTGTTCCTTTTAGTGAAACCATCTGTGATTGCTAAGCCATCTGAATATGTGGAAGAACCCTCTAGTACCGCAGCTAGAAAGCAGGAGGTGTTCTACAAGAGGGAGGGGGGAGCGCAATGGAGCATGCTCAATGAGTGTGTAAAGATAAATGGGTGCAAGAACCCTCCCTGTGCTACTGCCAGAAAACAGCAAGTGCTTGTTTCCTTTTATATTCTATACAGTGAGAACTAGAAATAATGTGCAAAAGTACATTCATAATGATCAAAAACAATCTTTCAGTTTTCTGACTACACTCGAATGATGAACTCTTCCAGTTAATAACTGCTTTATTGCACATTATATTCCTGTAGAATTATTTCCTGATTGTGAAAAGTTTGTCAGTTGAGTGTAGTCAGACTACTGAAAGACCATATCACTCTTTCTGCAAGTATACAATGAGTAATAACAGGAGAAGAGGACCTAATATGTTGCAAATAACAATGATGTCTGATCATCCTTACTTAGGGGAAAAAAATCTGGTTTGTTGTTATGGGTTACTGCACATCATTGCTCATTGCATGATATTAAGTGAAGGTACTGTGCTCATAAACATGGTATCCAGATAGAAATGATCACTTTAAAATGCTGTTTTAGAATCATGCACTCTCAAAGTCTCTGCAAGGTAGTAAAAACTCTTGAGATTGCTCAATAAATCAGCTCTCATAAAGATTGTGTTTTTTTTTTTCAGTAGAAAATATATCTGTATTCAATTTCTAAATCTTTACAGGTTGATCCTTGTCATCAGGCTCATCTTCGCTGCTTGTAGAGTCCTCGCCAAACAGACCCTCGCCTTTAGTAATAATATTGTCTTTCTCCTTTGATGCAACCTTCAGGGTGATAAGGGACGGAGTATCACTCATCCCGACAAGTATTGTCTTTCTATCAGCGGCTAAGGACAGGCAGCAGATTTTACTGTCAGGGGTAAACACAGAGACTACCGTGCCAATGACCAGGTTCCACAAACTGACGTCGCCTATAGAAAGAGACAAAATAGGTCAATTGGGCTACAACCGTTTGATTATTACATTCTCTGTTTACTAATATATCAAATTTTAGTGAATTTAATCATCTGTATTTTAATGAAAATCTGTATTGAGATAGAGGAGCTGCCACTGCGGAGCTCGGCCTGAAATCACTAGTCTGGCTATCTCTAGCTTTATACATTGAGCCAGAATGAGCATGCAGACTAAAGTGATAGTAAACTCATTTATTATACTTTTACCCACATATAATAAAGCTTACCTGTAGGTAAATAATTATCTCCTAAACATCCACTGTTTAGGAGATATTCTAGTGAGCGGCAGCCGGTGCATGCACTCTGAGGGAACAGTATATCCATGCCATTCCTTCAGAACTGTGTGCCGCAGGAGTGACGTCATTGTGGCTTCGGCCAGAAGGAAGACCAGGTGAAGATGGAAGCCTCTGCAGCAGTGACAGCGTGCCACTGGAGGGCTTCGTTCTCAGCTAAGTCTTTCATAATATGCTAGAATGCGATACATACTAGCTCATTATGACCTCACCTCCGCAACATCTCCAAGATACGGCCGTTCTTAACCTCAGAAACTACTAAGCAACTTATTCACTCCCTTGTTATCTCTCGCCTTGACTA